AGAACCGCCCTCAAGGCGCGCTGTGCGCTGCAGCACCAGGGAGACAAGTCCCGCCCAGCGCCGCCGCACCGCCCACCCCGTTCCCTTCGGCCCCGTCAGCTTCAAGCGCGGAGCCGGCACTGCGGCTGCGCGCCGCCCACGGCCGCCCGTTCTGGGCATGCGCGAGCGAGGCGCGCACGCGCCGTAGGCAGGGGCAGGTGACGGGGCAGCGGTAGGATCGCGCCGCGATGGTGTACATATCTAACGGTGAGCGGCGGCTGTCGGGAAGGGGCGATGCGAGGGCGGTAGCGTTGCAGTGGCTGCCGTGGTCCGGCCTTAAGGCAGCAGCTTCTGTTGGTGGGGCGAGGGGTGCGGGCCGGAGCTGCAGCGGACCCCCTTCGCGCATCTCCGGCTCTACAACACGTCGTCCCCGCCCTGCTCCCCCAGCTTCACGCGCTGCTCCGTGCTCGGCATGTGTTCTTGTGCGCGCTTGTGCCCCTATGCAGCGTCTAACGCTCAGCTCCAACTGTTCCGAGAACCGCGTGCTCGTACTTAGGTAAAGCTTTAGGCACGGGGTGTAGTCCTCCATCCTGTCTGGATACGATTTCAAGTCACATAGTGATGTAATTCAATAAACAGTGCTGAATGTTTCCTGTCTTGCCACGTAACAGGACAAGTTTTGGATAACCGGAGCCGGGCTCCTTGGAGCTTCTCATCCATAACAGATTTCTTCTGGTCGATAGCAGACTTTGTAGTTATGTTGTAAGTAAAAAAAAAAAAAAAAACAACTATTCTTTTGATGAACTTTATTTTAAGCTTGTCATATGCTGATAAGTACTATCGGTAGTGCAGTACCACAAAGACACTGGATTTATTTGTAGCATTCCATAGGTACTATTCACACAATCAGAGTTGTAGGGGCTGGAAGGGACCCCTAGAGCCCCTCAAGTCCAACCCTTCTGCTAAAGCAGGTTCCCTACAGCAGGTTGCACAGGTTTCAAATATCTCCAGAGGAGAAATCCACAGCTTCACCTGTTGCAGTGCTCCATCACTCTTCCTTGCATTAATATGGAACTTCCTATGTTCCAGTTCATGCCCATTATTCTACTGCTGACTACCACTGACAAAGGTCTGGAAAACATCTATCAATGTTTTAATATTGTTACATGGTCTCAATTATGAAGCACTTGATGCACATATTTAATACAAAATATATGAAAACCGATACTAAAGAACTGGCAGTTCTTCCATTTCAGTACTGCAAGAAGAACTGCATACATTTTTGTTAAGGTTCTAATGGCTGATCAAACTGAAGTATTATTTGGTGGATTTCTACTACTGACAATGGTTTCTTGCTGCATAACAATACTCACACAGCAGTAATCTTATATGCATGCCCCAGAAGCTAAAGAATGAGTTATTTTGATGTCTTCAACAGTCCTTCATTATCTTAGTTACAGTTATATTGCCTGCACTTTATTTAGCACAAGAATAATGTTCAGTTTTAAATACTTGACAATTTGGTTTCTTTGAGCTGTATTGTTACTTGGGACTGTGTTGCAATTTTATAATTCTGCATAGAAGAAAAATTACAAAGATTAAACAACAATAATCTTGACAAGATACTATTCACTCCTAACACTACTGGTTTTTTAGCCCACCTCTTACCTTGCAGTCCCAAAACCTAGAAGCTATGTTTCGCCATCCATTGAACATAACTACTTTTTTTTTTTTTTTTCCCCCCCTCCAGCTTCCAGAGCATTATTCAACCAGATTTGAGGAGAAGAGGCTACACATCTTCCTCCTACTTAGGACAAAGCGATGGAAGAGGGTATTTTTCATATTCTCAGTAGTTTTGTTTATCTTTTTTTCACTGCCCCTGAAAAATGTCATACTGTGATCGTGATCATAGTCACAATTTGCATCAAATCAGGTCATGTGAGAGGTCTAAAACATTTGGTAATTTTTCTGCAGCATTTTATATGAAACTTGTTGATAATAATACAGAGTTTTGAATAGAATAGCTAGAGTAGCAGTACAGTCTGATACAATTTTTTAGGGCTGCATAATAGATGTTTGTCTTAAAAATTCTTATTTGGTTAGCCTTGCTGATACTAAGTGTTAGATTTGCATGAAAAAGTCACTTTGTATTAGATTTATCTATATATTTTAGACAAAACACTTTATTATGTGGATATAGACATTGTAACTACTGTGTTTCTTTGTTCCTAATGGACAGCCTTATCTTTTTACAAAGCTGCATAAAAGCATCAGTTACTGGCAACTACAAATTTTCACATCAAACCAAACAACTTTCTAAAGGCTTTATCAATCAAATTGCTATAGTTTAGATACAGTGTTTTTATATTTCTAAATTAACAGAATGCCTATTAAATAGATTTTGCCTTTCTTGCTTTTTCTATAGGCCTCCAGGAAATCCTCGCCGAAGAATGGGAAGAATAAATCACTGGGGTGGAGGCCCTAGTCCACCACCAATGGCTGGAGGTGGATGAGGAAGGTAATTCCCTATCTCCTCAATCCAGGTTTAGGTGGTTTTTTAATTTTTTTTTTATTTTTCAACTCCTAGAGATAACAGCAATAATAGAGTTTAAGGTAGAATTGAGTTATTATTGAGCTTTATCCTACTGTAAAGCTGTAATGCGATAGAAAACACAGCAATAATAGCAGAGTTCTAGACTGCAGCAAGTGAGGATGTGCTCATATACAACAGCTGTACACATAGAAGCAAAGAAAAAAAAAAAAAAATCACTTACACTTGAAAGGTCTCAGGTAAGTAGGGATCTCCAGCAAGATATCCTTGCCTGCACTGCCAACCTTTAAATGAGGTTGCATACACCCTTCAATTGCATTGCATACACCTGAGCTCACCTGGGTTGGCCCTGCCTTCCCACCAGGTGCTCAATCACTGCCTAAAGCCATGATTTAGCATTTCTGCTGCACCTACATAAGTTACCAAGACAGGAACAATAGAAGTGGATAGATATTTCATTAACAGGAAAAGTGTGTGTGAAGTAGTGTAGTATAAAGTTTTGGCTCAGAAGTGATGAGCTTCTAATTGTAATTACATAGAAATTAGTATACAAAGCATAAAACAGATATTTGAACATAGCTGATAAAAAATGATTTAGCACTCAGACTTTTTTGGTTGCTAATATTAAGTCTTATCCAGATCAGTAATAACTGAAACTTTGTTTTTTTTCTAATTGTTATCATATTACAGATGATATTTTTTCTTTAAGGGGGATTCCTAAAAATGGAAAGAAGGAAAAGTTGTTAAAAAAAATCTGCTACTAAAATACTTTTTCCACTGAGTACTATAGCTATGCACATCTCAAACTGTAATACAGCATAAATCAGAATTGCTTAAAAAGGGAGGAAAAACCTTTCAAAAGCCTAACGTTACATTTCTTGCTACTGCATAATAATTGTAATTGAAAATATGAATTCTGTTCTGTTAAAATGATGAGATTTTCATCTAACTGAATGTATATATGGTTTAACTTACTTTAAGACTTCAGTAAGCTGCTCTTTTCGTGAATTATTATTCATTATTGAAACAAAAGTTGAAAGGAAAATGCGCATGCAGATGGTAATACAGTGAGTCTTGTGGCAAAAACTTCATACTCAAAACCAACCATTGCACACTTATATTTCAGTGTCCTCGGGGAAAAAAGGAATAAATGCCTCTTCATATATATGTATTTTTTTCATTTGGATTAGTTTTTTTCTTTTTGAACTAGCCATGAAGCAAATAGACAGTGGGAAGAGCTTTTGGGGGAAAATGACGGTGTGTAATCTGCTCAGGATGAGAATTCCAAGCTTTTGGCAGGTCTCATTTAGCTAAATTAAAATCAGTTTTATTTTAAGATGGTTACTTACATCTTGCAAAGGAAGACGTTGTTTTTAAACATGATGCAATTATTTTGTCTTTCTAGGTAAATGCCTGCTCTAAGAGGCAGGCAAAGGAGCATGCATATTTGCAAGAAGAAAGGGAAGAGAGTTCAGTGGTGGACCAAATGAGTTTGGACGTTGTGAATGTGCGTGTCTAACTAAGAACTGTTCTGCAATATAAGCAGATTAATGAAGTTGTACTGGAAAATCCTTCAAGGATCCAGTGTAACTGAAGTGCAGTGTTATTAAATACATGTTTACTGTCTGTCTAAAGTCTTTGTATAGTTTCTGAACATTTTACTGTAGTTGCAAAATAAATTATATATGGCTTGTCAGAAGGCTGGCTCTTAATTTTTATACAACCAAAAAGTTCTACTCAAAGCACGGTGAACACCTTTCTGGTCAGATGAGGAAAAATATGTAATACTTACACACGACACCAAAGATCACTCAAAAATCACTTAAAGCAGTGCTTCCTTAAAGGTTTTAAGGAACCATTACTGGTTCTTGCCGTGTTTTTATAATATTAATGATGTGCTAAAAACAGTTGTAAAATGCATTTTTAGTTCTTTTGTTTGTTTGTTTTAAACGGTCCTTCCATTTTAAAAGACTCATTTCCTTAAAGCCCGATTGTGGGTTCTATAACATTCCCACTTCATAAGCACTCATGAAACAACTTTCTTCTTTTCTCAACACACGTGCATATTCTGTGCAAATAGGACACTTCCAATAAAATGAGGTTTCATTTTCATTACAGGAAGAAAAGCTGCTCGGTAACACTGAGCACTAACACACAAGTTATTTTCTTCCCTGTCACTGCTTTTCTGCATGGGCTGCGACTTTCAGTCGTTGTTCCGGGCTCTGTTTGGTCCATAGGAGCGGGCCGGTTCCGCCAAGCAGAATCCAGACGGAGCTAACTTCTACGAAGTGCCGCTTTCAGTTTTTCACCTGGTTTTTCTAACAGCCTCCAGCAGCTAACTATCGCCTCCAGCAACGTCCCTTTGTTACCAGCGGATTCATGAACGCGTCAGCTTCCGCCTGCCGCTCGTAGAGAAGCTCGAATCCCGCCCGCCCCGCGGTACCAGCCGAGCTGTCCGGGGGGCGGTGCCTCCCGTGCTCCCGCCTGTTCCGCCCCGTGCCGCCGCCTGGCCCAGCTCGGAGGCGCCAGGCGGGCCGGGAAGATGACCCAGGCGGAGAAAGGCGAGACGGAGAACGGCAAGGACAAGGAGCGCGAGCGAGAGCAGCGCGGCGGCAAGCGGCCCATCGTCCCCGCCGCCGTGCCCGAGTCCCTGCAGGAGGTGAGGCCGCGCCGCCCCTTTTAAAGGCCCGGCCGGGGACGGGGGGGCAGCGACGCGGGGCGGGCGCCCACCGCCCGCGTTTTGTGCTTGCAGCAAATTCAGAGCAACTTCATCGTGGTGATCCACCCCGGCTCTACGACCCTGCGACTCGGGAGGGCCACGGACACGCTGCCTGTGGGCATCCCTCACGTCATCGCTCGGCGGCACAAGCAGCAGGGCCAGGCGGCGTACCGGGACAGCTGGCTGCTGCGGGACGGCCTCAATGTAAGCTGCACCGCGGAGACCCTGCGGCCGAGCGCTGTTCGGGTTGCGGCTTTGGATAGCTTGGCACGGAGCCGCTGGGACCTCCGATGCACAAACCTTCCCTCCGTCTCGCGGTCTAGTAACCTCAGCAATGAGTTCGCAGTCTAATTTAATTCAGTATTACCAGTTTTCAGGCTGCACGACAAAGTGTTTATGATATGTGCTATTTCTGTTGCTTAGAAACCTGAAAGTACAGAGCAGAGACAAAATGGCCTAAAAATGGTGGACCAAGCAATATGGTCCAAAAAGATGTCAAATGGTGCCAGACGTATCCCAGTGTCACCTGACCAGGTAACTCCTCTTAAAATTGTAATAAATTGTGTTCTCATGTGGTATAATGCTATGTTTTAACACATAAGAAAAAATATTCTGTATAAAGTATATATGAATAGTGTTATTGTGTACCTTACCTCCAAAGATCTAAGAAGATGAAGGTTTAAAATGGATTTTCAGCATGGATTGCTGGGGGTTGTCTGTTTGTTTGTTGCTTCCATGCACAGAAAGTGCCTGGTAAAAACAATGTTTGATTTGATTACATCTCAGGCCAGGTCATACAACAGACAGATGCGGCCAGCTATTTTAGATCACAGCTCTGGGGCCAAGTGGACAAACACCTCTAATCATCCTGATTTTTTGGTAGGAGAGGAGGTAAGATTTATTTCCTACCTGAAACGAGGCTTATTGTTATCCTTTAATATAACTGTGTATTGAAGAGCAATTTGAACTCAATTTAGACTAATCAAACAGAACTTGAGCAGCTCTACTTGGTACTAAGTGAATGTTACCATTCAAGAAGACCAGACAGTTTTTCTCACTTGCCTAGCTAGAAATATATATCTATTTCACAGAATCACAGAATGGCCTGGGTTGGAAGGGATCTCAAGAATCGTGAATCTCCAACCCCCACTGCCACAGGCAGGGCCACCAACGTCCACATTTAGTACTAGACCAGGTATTTTAAACAGCAGGGAAAACTGTATTTCTTTCAAAGATTCATGCAGTGTAATTGTCAAGGGTAAGTAAAAGATATGTCTGAATATTCTTAAGTCTTTATTCTAATAGTAGAAGCAGTGGGGTAGATTCACTGTTGCTGTAAGTGGCCATTACTGCAGGTGAGAACTTTACCTACTGGTATAAATCAGATGCATGGAAGGAAACTGAGAAAAAAGGATCAGTGCATGGAATTACTGTTGATTAATTAGGTATTCATGAGTTTTCAAGAGTTTTTACATTAATTTAGCTATTAGTGAGATAAGAAAAAAAAAAGACACTTTTATGTACTTAATGATCTAGAAGGTCTTTTCCTATCTGTTTCCATCTTCTATATCCATGGATTTGAAAATTCAAATAATTTAAACCATGTACAGAATGTCTTAAGACAATACAGCCCTGCTAAAAAAAAAGACACCATATTGCCATCCCATTGGTCTCACTGCTGCTGTACAGGAAGTTCTGTCAGTTTCTGAAATATTTTTCTATTATTTATTATAAATATTGGGAGGGAAATAACTTCATTTCTTATTTTCAGGCACTGTATGTTAATCCATTAGATTCTTATAATATACATTGGCCAATTAGGAGAGGGCAGCTGAATCTACACCCAGGACCTGGCGGCTCCCTCACTGCAGTATTAGCAGATCTTGAAGTTATATGGTCACATGCAATACAAAAGTACCTGGAAATACCACTGAAAGATCTAAAGGTGAGCTATGAACAAGTTTATGAGGGCTGTATCCTATTCTGTAAATGCTGTCATTAACGAAAAGCACCCTGCTTGCACTGGTAGGCTCTTACTGGCGCTTGTCTTAACAGATAAATTTTAGCAGTGGTATATGTGGTTCCTAGGACTTCATTAATGACCTGTCTGCTGTTAACTTGCTACTCACTGAATAATTTTTGAAATTATTAAAAATAATGTTGCTTCTTGTAGCATCTTGCATGTGATCCTTTCTTTCTTCAAAACAGGTATTCAGTCATGTAAAGAGACAGTTTATTTGAGAGCTGACTTTAATTTTTCATTCTTACCTTCAGTACTACAGGTGCATTTTACTAATTCCAGATATCTACAATAAACAACATGTGAAAGAGCTAGTGAATATGATCCTAATGAAGATGGGCTTCTCAGGTAAAACTATATGTAAGCAACCATTGAGTGATTAATAGCATAAAGACGTTGGTGGTTTTTTGTTGGTGGTGGTGGTTTTGTTTGGGTTTTTTTTTGCTTTAAGGAACATTCTTACAGGCTGGTTTCAGCTTGACTGAGACTCTCAGCTTTCATCTTTTGATGTTCACGTAACTGTTTCCTCTTTTAGAGGGGAGAAATGGTTGGCTAGCATTGAAACAATTTTGTTATTTTATTTTTTCGGCTGGAAGGAGACAGAAATATCTACTATTTCTGAACGTTAAGTATGGGCTTGTGATACAAATATGAATGTACTCTGTTAACAAAGATAAGAGTGAATTGAAAGGAAAACAGGGTGAAATTGGACCTTGTTCTGTAACTATTTAAAGATCCTTTTTAAAATACTAATTGTAATGATACATGATTAAAAACTAGGAAGAAAAAAAATAGGAAAATGCTTCACATGCATCTGGAAACAAAGAGCTTGAATACAAGCTACAAAAATAAACTGGCAACAGTATCCTAACTATTACAAGATAGGAATGCACAAATGTAGGCTTCCATTTTCTAGTAGCTTTTCTCAGAACTCCAAGGGCCTATGCAACCCATCTTAATTTAATAAGAGCATTCCAGTGTGTCGAAGCTATTAGCAGGTTTTAAAAGACATTATGATGTCATTTGAGCATCAGAAACACAGCTCTGGAGCTTGGTATAAATTGAATATAAACTTTTTTCTTCATGTTGCTAGGAATTGTGGTGCACCAGGAGTCTGTCTGTGCTACATTTGGAAGTGGTTTAGGCAGTGCGTGTATAGTAGACGTGGGAGATCAGAAGACAAGTGTTTGCTGTGTGGAAGATGGAGTTTCCCATCGCAACACCAGGTATCTCTTCATGTGCAGAATTATTACAAGCATGTACCTAATTACTTACCAAAGACTTGACTTTAAAAAAAAGTAAAAATACTTCTACATCTACAGGGTTGGGGATTTTGTTTTTATTATGAGCTCTTCAACAAGATCATTATGTTACAATATGAGCCTTAAAGAAATGACATGTCTAAAAGAAGAAAGCAGTGGAACTGATACTGTGCTGTACAGACTGTTAGGAAGTCACGATCACAGTGCAGCTAAAACATTGTTTGTATTCCTATGTATACCACAGTAGTAGGTATAGCAGTTTAGAAAATAGTAATCTTTTTTTTTTTTTATGCTTTAGGCTCTGCCTTGCATATGGAGGATCTGATGTGTCAAGGTGTTTTTACTGGCTTATGCAACGAGCGGGGTTTCCGTACAGAGACTGTCAGTTAACTAATAAGTTGGATTGCCTTCTGCTTCAGCACCTAAAAGAGACATTTTGTCACCTAGACCAGGTGAGAAGCAAAGTGATGTATTCTCCTACTTACCTCTATAGAATGCTGCTTTGGGGAAGCTCTATGGGAACCTACAATTGCTTGCAAATTAAAAAGTGTATAAAATAATCAGAACATGGGGAACAGTTCAGAAGATGCACGATTTATTCCTTGAAACGTTGTGTTTGCACAACATGTGTATTTTATTTTTAATATAGAATAATTAACTAATAGTCCTAAATAATGTATTTTTAATTATTAGGTACAGGAGAGCTGTAGGAAACAGGTTTAATGGGCATAGAAAACCAAATGCTTCATTCAGTAGAATGCTGGCAGGCTTGGAGAAGCTTTAGAGTTGAAGTATTTGAAACTTATTTTGTTGATCTTCTAGCTGAAAGGGATCCCAGCTCTTAGAAAGGACATTTATTTGTTCATATTACTCAAAGAAGCTGATAGCACTTGCATACTTGCTATTTTTCAGCTTGTTTTGCAAGCTCTGCCACAAGGTCTTGTCTTCTGCACAAACTCTCATTATAGAGGCTTAAACAGGTAGAAAGCTGTTTTGGCAAATCTTGCTAGAATAAAAAGACTTTTAAAGGAATTGAAGAATAGATAAGTGAAATTCCGAGGCTGAAGAGTTTTGTTACTTTTTGTTATTGTCCAGTTTAAGTTATGCAGAATGTAAGTTACTGATCCCGATAGAGGTATGTAAAAATATTTATCTTTAATACTTTTTTTTTTTTTGACTGCAGGATATTTCTGGGTTGCAAGATCACGAGTTCCAAATTCGGCATCCAGATTCTCCAGCTCTATTATACCAGTTCCGATTAGGGGATGAAAAGTTACAGGTTATGTTCATTAAATGAACAAGTAGTATATTGTAGTATGCTTGGTGATGGCATTAAAATGAACTGCATTGTGTGAGAATGTATCTAATGAGGCAATAGGAGATGCACAACACTTCTAATAACCTTTGATTGTCATTTCAATTGAATGTTTCGATGCTTATCCCTCAACTGCAAGGAATTGTGCAAGTTTTTCATTTTGTAACAATATTTGAGTTCCTTGTACATGACACACTGCTAGAATCTGTGAAGTCTGTGTACAAGCATATAAGTTTTAAAACATATGTAAAATTTTTACTAATCTGTTGGAAAAAAGACATTTTGAATTGCAAAAAAAACTAAGATAGAACAAGCTTTTTCTTCTCTACAATAAATTCCAATTAGTAAAAATACACATAATAAAACGCCAAATCTCTCATTTTTTTCAGGCTCCAATGGCTCTATTTTATCCAGCAACTTTTGGAATTGTTGGACAAAAGATGACAATTTTGCAACACCGATCACAAGGGGACCCTGAGGATCCTCATGATGAGCATTATCTGCTAGCCACACAAAGTAAGCAGGAGCAGGTGTGTGAATGCTTGTTTGTTTTTCTTTCCCCCACAAAGTATTATTTCATTCAGGAATAAAATAAGGACTCATTACCTCATCTCAGAGACTGAAATTCATTATCTGGGTCAACAGCATAAAAGAACTCTAAGGAATTATAGGTATCTAGAAAAGATCTTAATCTAAACTGTGTATTTTCAGTCTGAAGGATTTTCATGTTAATGGCATTGATACATCTGATGTATTGGTACATCTGAAAGTAAAACCCTCTCTTTGAAAGTGAGAATCAAAATAAAACTGATACAAGTAGTAATGTAACCTTTAGCCTTTCTGTGCAGAAAGGTAAAGAGGTGATGTTTAGCCATTGTATTGTTCTGTAATCTGCTTTTTCTATTTTTCATAAATTGACTGTTAAACTATTTCCTTATTTTTAAGTCTTCAAAAGCTACAGCTGATAGAAAATCCATGTCAAAGCCTGGTACCTTTGAGGGAGAAATGAAAAGCCAAGTTACAGATATTTCAGAGAGGATGTACCCCCAAGAAGTTGAACTGGGATCCTCCCAAAGTGACTGTATGATACCTGGAAATGATTCGGAGGAACCTTTAACTGCACACACGTCCAGAAAAACAGTTGTTTCTCAATTTGAAGGCAAAGCTTTAGGCCTTGACAAAGCCATTCTTCATAGTATTGATTGCTGTGGTAAGGATTACATTATTATGATTCTGAGAAATATGCTTGTCAGTGCGGATTTATGTTAACTACTATATTCTAGGAAAGTAACACATATATCCCTTAATTTTACCAGCTCTAGAGGTACCTGCACTATTCCTTATTACAACTTATTTTTAGATTTCTTGAGCTTGTTTTTGAAGCTCCAAGAAGCAGGAAAGTTTTCAAAGTAAGCAGTTCTCAGTTTCTATTTGATTTGACTTGCACTAAGTTCCTTATAATAAAATCACTAACTACTAAAAATATGTATTTCTATATGCATCCATTCATTCCAGCCTCTGACGATACAAAAAAGAAGATGTACAGCTCCATCTTAGTGGTGGGAGGAGGCCTTATGTTTCATAAAGCTCAAGAGTTCCTTCAACACCGAATTCTCAACAAAATGCCCCCTTCTTTTAGAAGAGTAGTTGAGAATGTTGAAGTCATCACAAGACCTAAGGTATACCATTAACTGATAACTAAATGGTTAATCAACCGCAGTCGAGTTCTTCAGAAGATTATATATATATTCTCTCAGAACCACAGATTAGTTGTATTTCTACATACGAAGATTTCTACATACGAGATTTAGGTAATTAGAGGTAAAGCAAGACCATTACTGATATTGATCATGAATGTAAAGGCCGTATTTCCAAAGTATCTGTGTGGCTCCCTGAAGTTAACGCAATTCCTTGCTGAAAAAACAGTTTTTTTGTTTTGGTTTGATTTTTGATTAGCAATGTAAAATAAAGTATGACATAAGTGAACAATTTTAATTTGGTTTTAATCTCTAAAAATCCAAGTGTGCATATTTTTCAGAGCCTTCAGCCTGCTTGCTGAGGGCAAGATTTTCATGGGCATGCCTAAAAGTCACATTTAAATCAAATTTAAAAAATTGACTTCCTCAAAAACCCTAGATAGTCTTTCCATGTTTTTACCTCTTTATCATGAAAAAGTTTCTCTTACATAATTTTCAAAGTTTTTTCTCTTCCTCTCACCCCCAAGATTCCAAGATGAATAACGTTGGAATAAATAGAATGCAAGGTTTGAGAATCAGACTCGTACTGTGTATAATCCTGTTTTTGGATTTAGGATATGGATCCCCGCTTAATTGCATGGAAAGGAGGTGCTGTGTTGGCCTGTCTCGACACAACTCAGGAGCTGTGGATATATCAACGAGAATGGCAGCGTTTTGGTGTCAGAATGTTACGAGAGCGAGCTGCATTTGTGTGGTAAATGATGTGTTTATGCAGTTAATTAAAAATTCAGTTCCCTCAAATGCCACTGTTTGTGTTTGGTTTTTTTTTGGCTTGTTTTTCCAAGGCACTGGAAAAAAAATCTACTGATCTTCTGCTGATATTCAATTTAATAAAATTAAATTGAACTGAGATTTTTCCAGTAGCAGTGCAAAAATCTTACAGAGTCCATATTACTTCAGTATTGCTATACTCGATTTTATTTTGAGTTGTATGCATTGAATTGTGTACCTCCATCTCCAGATTCTCTATATCACATAGGAGATACGTATGTATATACCCACATTAAAGTTACACAGTGTGGGAATATGAGGTACCAAATGCTGAAATGGTAGATATTAAGCCAAGACTGGGAAGACTGCAGCCTGTGGGATTAATGTCTTATTACAATTCCTGTGCTACTGTTACCAGAAGATGGAATTGTTGTACAAGCCATTATTGTGGAAACCACAGGAGGGAGAACCTAAACTTCAGTTGCTGTTGTTGTTGCTATAGTAAATTGTATTATTCAGTGGAAAAACATCATTTTCAACTTAAGTATTTTTTTCCTTGCTTGTTCTTATCATTAAAAAATTATTAGCTTTTCATTATCCTTGGTATTTACCTTGTCCCTATTCAAAAGTAATAATATAAAATGTGTCCCCAATTCCGCCCCCTCACCTTCCTTCACTCAGCCCCATCTTCAACCTGCCCTTGCACAGAAGGACAAATAAGCCCAATAGCAGACGGCTGGTTCAGCAGCTGAAAAACAATTGAGCATGCACCTAAAAAGCAATTTATGACTATGAGTCAATCTTACTCCGTAAATGGTGAGCAGCCCAAGAGCCCCTTTGAGCTCTCCTGCACAGCAGCTGGCTGCATGACAGGATCTCTCCCTTGAGCAGGGGCACCTCTTGAGGTTACAGCTGCACAGAGATATGTCCCTTACACTCTGATGTCAAGCTCCCTTGCCAATACAGATCCTCAGTAAGTGACTAATTGTTTTAGGTTTTGTTAGCTTCACTAAGATTCAATCTTAAATTGACTGTGCATGTAATCCCTTAGGTATAAACCACTGACAAAACCTGGGACTAGGAGTGCCACATCTAGGCTCCTTACCTCCATGGTTCAAGGAGATTAGAAAGCAAGGGTCCACTCAACCTCATGGCTCAATAGGAAGGCCTCCTGTATGTTTACCTCTACCATCTGCATAGTAAATAATGGAGTGTATCCAGCCACTTTGAATCTTAAGTCACTGTTAAAGCACTACATTATATTACGTTATACCACATCAATAAATATATTCTAGCTTCTTTTTTATGAGGGCAGTATATTGTTTTTGTTCCACCCACGACAACCTAGAACTAGATTTCTTCTACATAGCACCAACAGCCATAGAGGCTTTTTCTCCTTGTAAGTAATCCTTCGTTACAGAAGTTCTATTTCTTGTTTTATCTTCTGTAACAAAGGCTCCCATCACCCTCAAACCAAGCTTCAAATACGTATTTGCAGCTATAAAGTATATTAATACTATTACAACGCTTAATATAACATAAAACATCAATTAATATAGTAGTTACAGGAATACTGAAGTTCAAAATAAGTGAGAATTCTTCCCTCTGTAACAATGTCAGCAACCACAGTAATAATGCATACAACCACAAGTAGAGCAGAAAGGAGAAAACAAAAATATTCCAACTGAATTGACTGAGGATTTCTGGGGAAAAAGAAAAAACAACAACAATCGCTTTGAACCAAGTCTTGCTTGGTTGAAAAAGCTGTCTCCAGTTAATTAAGAAGAGAGCGTTTCTATATGTCTGCATCCGGAAGAGAAATTTCTCTAAAAGGTAATGCAAAAGAATTAATAATCGCTGATTAATCTCATGCCTGAGTAAATAAATTTTGTTTAAAAACTACACCAAAATCAAAGAATATCATCTATACAAGTGAAATAACAGTGGAGTACAGCACTGCTGAGAACAACCAGAGTTCTTACACTGTCTCCAGAGTTTGCTGGTCATCTCTGTTGATTTTATATCAGTATTGTTTCCATGTTTTTTTCAAGTACCTCATACATTTGACACTCATAAAGCAGCATTAAATATTCAAGCCCAAGAGTAATTATTGTAGAATTCACTTCTGTCTCTTTTTTTATAGACAGTTACATTTGGATTCCACAAACTTCCCGAGCGGTGCCTTAATGTGTTTAATAACTAACTGATTAAATGTATTTCTGGTCTGGCTGTGGCAGGCACTGTACACCCTGCAGATGGCAGCTTATGACCTAGCAGTGTTTGTGCTTCCTAAGGGAGCAAGTCAGAAGCATTGGTTAGAAAGAGACACTGGTGTTGTATGAGGTCAGGTACTGATGCCTGGAAAGTTAGGGGACAAAAATACCAGAAAGTTCCAATAGGTTTAGAAACAGTAGTACTTAATGGCACATCTGCGTGCCCAAACGTATGAGGATTTAGTCTATTAAAAGTACTTTTTGCCAGTAGCTAAACTAAATTCACTACTTCTCAGAAACCGAGGAAACTTCAACAACACAAATTCATGGATTAAAAGATGACTGCAGGATTCCCACCTTAAGGCCACGGAACATAGGGAAAGGCTGATAAGTGGCGATTCTGCTGGCTGTGCGGCCACAGGCGGCTCGGTGACACTTTGAAGCGCGATTCCGCTGCCCTCCAAACGCCCGCCGTACGCCTCGCTCCTACCCGTGTCACTACAACCTGTGAGGGCGCGGGAGGCGGACTTCGCCCCGCAGCCGCTCGAAGTGTTTCGAAACAGCCCAGAGTTCCTCCGACGGTCCGACGGACTTCTTCCACGAAGAGCCGCAAGTTCCCGCGGACAGCCGCAGACCGCCTCCCACACAGGCCGCTCCCCCTGCCGCTGGTCGGGGCCGCGTGACGGGATCCGGCTCCGAGTTTCACGGCGCCCGGCCCGCCTCCGCCTCAGGAACAGCGTGAGTGGGGCCGAGAGGCACCGAGCCTCGGGAAGACACGACACAAGGGCCGGGAAAGGGAAACAGAGGGAGCGGGGCGGCGGCGGGGGTGGGAATGAGGCCCCGGTGGCGGACCCCCACACAGGCGGCTCTGTGGTAAACACGGCCCCGAGGTGCCACGTCCCGCCGCCAGCCTTCACTGCGAGACTGGGAAGGAGCTCTGCGGGGTTGCGCGTGCCCTCAGGCCGTGGCCGTGCCGACCCCGGGCACGAGGAGAAGTTCGTGCGTGCAGCAAGGCGAGCTGCAGCGGCCCGGGCGCTCCCAGCTGCGGGAACTTCGCGCAGCGCTTTACCTCGGGGGTTCGTTGCTTCTGCACCTTCATACGCAGGGTGATGGCCAGGAAAGGCCTCGCTGCTCCCAGGCTCCGGGCGCGTGCTGCTGGGCATCTCCAGCCGAGGGATATTTGCCTCCACCGGAGGAAAAGCGGTCATTTCGGCCCTGGTAAAACAGAAGCGGGAATGGAATATCAGCCAGTGGGAGTTTCCTTGTGCCTTCAATGTGTCTGCAGGAGCTGACGTTCAGGCAGGAGACCCACGTGCAGATGAGTGCGTGGGTCACATAAGAGCTGTGCATTAATACTAACGTACATATCCAGCTAAGTATGTTGGATTTACATTGAAACAAAACAGTTTGAGATTTGACCTCTGCACCTTCAAGCTTTAAAACACAGAAAATAGTGTATCACCTACACACTGATTCTCAGAGTCATTTAAATACTGTTGACCAACCTCTTCTTAACACTCTTGTCAAGAGTCTCATTATCTCCTATGGTACTCAGCTACACCCATTCCACTTTAATAAGTTCATTAACAAAAAAGAAGTGACTTAAAGGAAAGTATGAATTAACATGTAAGTATAGATGTGATGAATTTATGTGATGGAGTAGATTCAAACCACCGCTTTAGTACCATCAAAAGAACATTCATTCTTGCTTTCTTGGCTGGTAATTCAGCCTCCTAGCCGATATGGCTATCGTAACTGTTTGGTACTTATCTTTGTTCAGCTTTATTTCCAGTTTTATCAGAGAATGGGAAATCTCTGATTCATTAATAGTAACAATGCTCAGAGATACGCAGTTTTTCTAGATAAGCCACCCCATCCACCTACAGCCACTTTGTTACAGTCCATTTTCCAATATACCCTGCTCTGCATGCAAGGTACATAGTCTCTTCCCTTTGTTGTGGGCTGAGAGTCCTGTAAATCTAAAATTCTAGGAGTTGGTCTCAGACACACTTCAACTAGTTTTGCCAACTTTCTTGCCAACAAGTTGATTTAATCATTAAACAACCTATGCAGTTTCTTTTCCTTTTTTCCTCCCTCTCTCCTTTTTCAAAAGCTGCAGGAAAAAATAAATTAAAAGAGAGATAGTCACTTCTTGATCATCCTTTAGAAAAACCTCTTTTTACACATAACCCCAAATACTGAACTGATAAATGTGTTCAATGAGGAGCCCCAATCACTTAAGAGCTCTTCCCACTTTTAGCTACCTAATGTATGATCAAATATACTGTGCTCACATTGTAGCAATAAAGTTTTCCTGCTGAGGTTCTCCTGCTCTTTATTCCTATAGGAATGCTGTCCATAAGCTCTTTCAACAATATTTACCTGTAAAAATAGATACAATTTTTTCAAGTGAGTTCAAATTTTCAAGCTCTGGTGCAATAAATGAATATATTTTATGTTGCTTTATGCATTTCTGCAGGGCTCTTTGCCAACTGATAAGGAACCTCTTATTATGAGCACAGAAGGGTCATGATATGAAAGAACACAGACAAAGTCTTCCAGCAATATCCAGTAAGGCCTAAAATACACTTTTGTTGGTGGTAACTACAGAGCATTTCATTAAAATTGAGCTGTTTAAATCTTCCTATTTATATGTTTGTTGATGTTATTCCGTTCAAAGAAAACTACTGCAAATTTCCCCAAGACTGTAAAAGAATTTAAACAACAATAAAACTGTATATGCATGTAGAGCTGAACAGATTACTAGAGAGAAAAGTATCATCATGTTCTAGTTTCAGAAAGCAATGACCCTTTCAATATAAGCTTGAATTGCTCTGTGAGTTTCAGCATATGCACGTGTAAGAGCCTCTCAACTAGTTAGCTTTATAAAGGGTTTACACTTCAGTACTAGCGTCCTAGAGTAAGGCAGGACAGAAACAGTACTGTAACATCAGTGTTGCTTTTGGAACGTCATTTTAGTTAACATCTTCAGAAGCTCAACAGCTGCTGCTTGTGCTGTAGCAAACCATAGAACTACAGTCTCTAGGCGCTACCTTCAGGTCTGTGACACAAAGCTGAATGTGATTCCAGGGATTCTGCACAGTTTACTTTTTTTATCACCAACAACTAAGTAGGTCATGGCTGGTAGCCAGCAGTCTGGTTAGGAGGCACAATAATATATAATGGCGTTATAGATTTTATGCCAAAATCAATAGGCTAATATTTGTTCCAGATCCTGGAAACTCTTCCTGTCTAATTAGTAAACATCTTTAGGATCAACATCAGAGGAATTCTGCTTCTTCAGGAAAGAAATTCAAAATGTTGTCTCATAATGAATCACCCACACAAAATACAAAGAAAAGAAAGAAAAAAGAAAAATACCTTGTTATATAGGGACAAAGCATCTTTCCCAGATTAGCAGGGCCTGTAGTGTAGTAAAATCCATCTTCTTTTCCTAAAGCAACAAAATCTACAACCTGCCAGTTCTGTAGGTCAATCACATCTTCTTAAATTGTAACCGTCTTCATTATAACCCAATCAAAACACATAAAACCTTTCTATCTTTCTCTATTGCAACACAAGAAATCACCAAACTCTCTTCCTCTCCAGAAATCCTTTTAATATTCTCCACCTGTAAAAGATGCCCTCCTACCTTCAGCTGGGATCCACTTTGAATTAGCCATGTGAGAATCAGGTGTGTGAACTGCTAGGCTAAACTGTTACCACACACAGATGTGTATTCACATTCACATTCACATTCTAGAAATTTCAGGATTTGTACAGCCTGTTACAAGCTTTCTTAGTGAAAAAGATTGTGCTTATTCCCATACTTCCCTGAGGAAAAAAAAATGTGTTTGATATCATACAGTACAGTGTTAATAAATATGGTTACTTATGGAAGACTTATAATTTGTTAGAGACTGTATCTAATTTTGCCTTGGATCCTGGACTTGTGGTTTCACAAACTTGAGTGGTCTCTCTCACAAAAACTATGTTGCTGTCTGTAGAATCTCCAGCAAATTCTCAGGAGCCACGGGCTGGGAAAAATTAGTTTTTACAAGCCTAGGATATCTAGCTGTTTTTAGTCATTGTTTGTACGGGAGTAGTGGTTTCAAAGAGAGAAAACAAGAGAAACACATTTCAAACTGGCCAGCAGTAGCAGTACTTACGATGTAAAAATGAGCTATGAAAATCTTGTTGAGTACACAGTTAAACCTGTGTTGTCTGTAAGGTTGACAGGCTTTCCTGAAGGTAAATAATTGCTATTCCTACCAAGCATCAGGACCTGGTAGTATCACATCATAGTTGTATTCAGAGTTCTCCTGCAGGATCTGGTTTCAATAAGAAGGGAAAAAGCCACAGATATACAAGTATTGCCTTTACCTACATTAGGAGACATTCTTCAAAAACTGTAGTTCTGTATTTCCAGCTGAATCTTTTCCATGGTTATGAATTGGCTATGCAATACTACTGACTCAAATTTCTAGGGGAATTTATGCAATTGTTGTTTTTCTTAAATTCTTGTCCAGTAAGGCAGATAAAGAGAGACTACCAGGTAAGCAGAGGTTTCTATCCTTCACAGATAAATACTTCAAGCTGTCCTTCAGGTATTTATCTCATGAACCCAAAGGAAAGCAAAGTCGGACTGCTTATAATACCAAGTAGCATCCACTCAACTGGTGCCAGTAGTACATTAAAAAAGACAGCAAGTTTCAGAATAAATGTTTGTTGTCTTATTAGCATTTAGTTAAACTTTTGGATAGTGAGAATGAGCAAAGTACAGCATTTGTATCTGAAAATGATAGACATTTTAGAGGTCTTACACTGCACTAATTATTGCATTTAAATTTGGACTTTGTTTGTTTGTTTGTTTTTCCTAGGGCAAAACACTGGATTATTTTTTTTTAAGTCTGCAAGAGTAGTGTTATTAGTTAAGATGTCCTACTTAATCAATGGAATTAAACATTGCAGTCCTGTGAATCAGATTCACAAAATAACAGGAGCTCTGTTTAAAGCGCACCTATTAAGGAACACATGGGGCATCAAGGAGCAACAATTAAAAATCTCACGTGCATTGTCTCAGCTTAGTTCTGAAAAGGCAAACTCTTATAATTATGTCATTGTTGGAGCTGGATCAGCAGGGTGTGTGTTAGCCAACAGGCTGACTGAAGACCCTCACAGTACCGTACTGCTTTTGGAAGCAGGCCCTAAAGACACCCTTTTAGGTAGTAAAAGACTACTGTGGAAGATTCATATGCCTGCTGCATTAACTTATAACCTCTGTGATGAGAAATATAACTGGTATTATCACACAACTTCACAGAAGCATATGGATAACAGAATTATGTACTGGCCCCGAGGAAGAGTGTGGGGTGGTTCCTCTTCTCTCAATGCAATGGTATATATTCGTGGGCACGCAGAAGATTATAATCGATGGAGCAGAGAAGGGGCTATAGGATGGGACTATGATCATTGCTTGCCCTATTTTAAGAAAGCGCAGACACACGAGCTGGGATCAGATCAGTATCGAGGTGGAGAAGGACCTCTTTATGTGTCAAGAGGAAAAACAAACCATCCTCTTCATCAAGCATTCCTGGATGCAACCCAGCAAGCTGGGTATCCCTTCACAGATGATATGAATGGTTATCAACAAGAAGGATTTGGCTGGATGGACATGACTATACACCAAGGTAAATTATAAAGCTTCATTAAGAAATTTGTGTTTCTGAGCCACCAGAAGTACTGAAATAATTTTAGAATACAGACACAATCTGCACTGAATGCTTTTTGGTTTTTTGGGTTGATGAGCAGCTACCAAACTCTAAATTTCCACTACAAGTTTCACAGCAGCTTGCTGTCAGACTAGAGTGTATTTCATTTAAAATGTTTTGGCATGCAGATCTTGAGTTAAAGGTAAATTTGGGATAAGAGGTTTTCATAACGTCTTTGTGAAGTTAAAATAAAATATCTAGTTAGTATATATCCAGTAGTATGCTGTGAACACTACAGAAGAATGCTTTTATTATATAAACATCCTGGTATTGGTATTGGTAAAAATCTTGAAGAGAACTTAGTACAACTATTTTGATTTTCAATTTAAGTTTATATTGCAGGTAAAAGATGGAGCACAGCTAGTGCTTACCTTCACCCAGCTCTATCTCGCCCCAATTTATCAGTTACTGAGAAGACGCTTGTAACAAAGGTCTTGTTTCAAGGAACAAAATCCATTGGTGTTGAGTATGTGAAAAATGGACAAAGGGAAAAGGTAAAAGATTTATATTTTCCAATATGAAAGATATTATTCATAGCAAAATTTAGAAATAAATAAATAAATAAAACAAAGTAGGTATGTAATACAAGTGATGCTTTACTCTGTAAATGTCAGCTTCCACTGTATGATTCTTTGTGAGTTGTTTACAGTAGGTGATACTTCAGTTGTATTTATTTAGAGATAAGAGTATTTTCAGAGCTGTTTTTCTGAAATAGCAGTGTTTCATCACACTCCAGTTTACAGAGATAATATAAGTGTAGGTTCCAGCTTGAAACATTACGTGATGCTCTTGCATAATATCAAGTCACAACTTGTCTGCTCATATTGAAAGCTTGATCATTCCTCCTTAAAGAAACTTGTAGCAAGATAGTAATGCATTTAGAATAAGAAAAATGTGAGGGATATGTGTCTAATCTCAGTCAGAATTGTATCTGAGTTGAAGCTCACTTGCATTCAGATCAAGCTTAATAACATTAGAACTTATCTGCTCATTTCATTTTAGGCTTTTGCCAGTAAAGAAGTTATTTTAAGTGGAGGTGCCATAAATTCTCCACAGCTACTTATGCTGTCTGGGATTGGCAATGCAGACGATTTAAAAGAACTGGGGATCCCTGTTGTATGCCACCTTCCTGGTAATCTTACTATTTCTTTCAATCTTGTATCTTCTTAAGGATTCAATTCCAAGTCTATTAAATTGAACAAATCCATTAATTTTGGTTGTCTTTATGTCAGGTAATATGGACTGAAATCAACAGCGTTACAAATCAGTGGAAACATACATTGATTTTGGAACTGAGCAGAGGCCCCCTACAGTTTCTCCACCGTTTGATAGTGGAAAATGCCTTTCTAAAAAATGCTACTAAGTGGCTTTAAACTAAAGCTGTGTACTAATAATTTAGAATTTTGGACAAGGGGTTTTGATCCACAAGAGATTGTGTCAGTTGTCACTGTCGTATGTATTAAAATATGGAAAGAACAACTTGAATGTCTTTAATGTGAAAATCTAATCCTAACATGAAAATCTAACATGAAAATACTCAGCAGTCAGATCTGGCAATTTTAGAACAAATGATATGTCTGCCATTCAACTACTATTGTTGTTCTAGTTATGCTATGTTTATTTAAAACCTGATTATGACATGAGCAAAGGGCTGATGATATGACACGTAGTCTTGGTACTAGTTGTCATTACCCTTGTAAGAGGTTGGGTTACTTTCCATTTATGCTGTTTTCTGGTAGCAAATTTTGAATATGGTTGTTCTACTTGAAATAACTTTGCTTTCTTTTTCCTTTCTTCTCCTTCCTGCCCCTTTATAAATCTTTTAATCAGGAGTAGGCCGGAATCTTCAAGATCATTTAGAAGTGTACGTCCAGCACAAGTGCACAAAACCTATTACTCTATACAGTGCACAAAAGCCAGTTAACATGGTGAGGATTGGTCTAGAATGGCTTTGGAAGTATACAGGTATGAAACAAAGTATGCAATTCTATCACTGATTGCTTTAGAAATATTAAAGCTTTTTATCTGTGAATTTTGAAATCTGGGATCCTTCATATAAAATTATTTCATATCTTTTAAACTAACTGGAGTTTGCAAAAGGCCTGAAAGATTACTTTTTTTTTATAAATCAAAGTATTTTAAAGTAGTTACTGGTTATTATGTTTTAGATATCAAATGATGTTTTTATACAGTGTTATTTAATGCACTTGGATCTCCTTTTAAGAAAATAAACTTTTAAATCTTAGTGGCACTGAGAAAAGCTTTGTTAAAAAATAGATGTTGCTTAGATAAAAATGTGCTGTGAACTGAACTATTTTTCCTAATTCTTGTCACAAAAAATTTATTTTGTTGCTCCAGGCAGAATCCTTCAGAGTAACTTTTGTTAAAAATGGCACTCTCATTTCATAATAATCCAGCTTTATGTTATAATAACCCAGACTTTAAAAAGAATCTATCAACGTAATCCTTGAAATCATTAAAATAGTTTGGCCAAACTCAAAGCCTTCATCTCTTGCTGAATCATTATGTCAGTAACTGGCCCAAGGTGATGACTTATGCTGTGTATGTGTGGCATTTACCATGGAAGTAATGGGCATGGAGGGATGAATCATGGTTTTAAATGGATCTGAAAATAACATAATATGAGGGACATAGTAGTCTCTTCATCTTTCCCCTTCAGGGTAGGCACTGTGGATGTCTTTGCCTATTACATGTGACTGATGGGATAGCTATGCTGCTTCTTTTGAAGTGCAATGATATCAAGATGCTGCAGCTGGTTCCCTCCACATCTGGCAGAGTCCCAATACTGAATCTGCCTCTGCAGTTAAACTGTAGGCAGGGCTTCTGCCAGTTATCCTGTAGTAACTGCAACATCTCACTATCAAATAATTGGAATTTCCAAAGTTATAGAGAATTACATTTACCTAGTGATTAAGAAGCAGGTGAAAGTGATACATACTGTTTCCACTGTAAGCTGTTCCTGAAATGTTTGTATTCTTTGCAATTTTCACTGTATATATGAATTGTGAGGGCTGCTCTGAAAGTAATGCCTCCTATTTTATGATGTTGGCCCATGATGTTCGAGGCAGATTGGTGGTATGGCAGTTGAACCTTCCCACAAATATTCTGTGACATTTTGTTGCTGTGTGACAGATGGAGGCAAAGGGGCAGTCTAACAAAATGAAAGAAAGCAAACACATGTAATCAAATTCCTCTATGTGGAAAAAATGACACTCAGTGGCTTTCATGAATGCTTGCAGAATGTTTACAGAGACTGAACAGTGGATGTTAGCACAGTGAGGTGGTATGTGGTGCATTCAGTGGCAACAACAATGTGAAAGATAAGCCATGTTCTGGATGGCCATGCTCAGTTCCCACCACGAAATAAAGAGCAATTCAACCAACTCATCTGGACTACAACCAGGGATGTGTGTACAGAGCTGAATATTGATTTCAAAGCATTGAAAACAGTGGTGGCAATACTGGAATGTTGTAAAGTTTGTGCTAGGTGGGGTTCCCATGAATGCTCACACAGGAAAAGAAAGACATATTTATGGATTTCCTGGAACACAGAAAAACCATGCTGGATTATGATGTTGGATAAGCTGAAGACTTGAACTTCCAGGGTCAGGTCAGAGAGGAAGACAATTTTCTCTTGCAACACAGTAATGCCAAGCCCCACACCAGTTTGATGACAGTGCAGCACTTAACCCATTTTGACTGGACTGTCCTACTATGCTGTCCATATAACCCAGATTTGGCACCTTCTGACTTCATTCAAGCTGCTGAAAGATGGGCTGCATGGGCAACATTTTCCTAGCAATCGTACAATCATAGCAGTTGTGAAACAATGGGTCATCTCTGCTGGTGCAGATTTTTACAAGCATGGCATGCAGGGTCTTGTTCATCACTGGTGAAAAAAGTATTGCTAATGGTGATGACTACATATTGGGAAGAAAAAAAAAAGTGTTTTGTATCTGAAAATTTGCTCAATCAAGTAGTGTTACTGCTCTCTTTGTATCCATTGTAGTTTCTTGTTGAAATAAATAGGAGACATTACTTTTGGAGCAACCAACATACTATCTATAGTGAAACAAGTTAAAAAGAAATGTGTTTCTTGCTTTTCTGAGGTCTTGTAATGGCATTTTATCGCTCATTTTCACTCCTTAGGTGAGGGAGCCACTGCTCACTTAGAATCTGGTGGGTTTATCCGAAGTCAGCCAGGAGTTCCTCACCCCGACATTCAGTTCCACTTTCTCCCTTCTCAGGTGATTGATCACGGTCGGGTTGCTTCCACGATGGAAGCTTACCAGGTAAGTTTTTAAAGAACCTACTGCAGTAATGTTCTATAGTCCCTATAAGAAGTAGATTGATCTTTTAGTGTGGTCATTGTGATTTGGCTTTACGCCGTGAAATACCTTTTGCAGCATAAAGAACTGACTAAACCTCCTACATTGGGAAAAAAGTTATAATTATTTGATATTGCTACTAAAATTATGCTGCTTTGTTATCTCTGTAAATGTGTTCAATTGCACTATTGAAGTGCCATAGTACTGTTCCTTAGGACACTTGTACTAGATGTACAAAACTAAACCAAGGTGTTCTCTGTTCCCCTGCAGTTTAGGCAGAGGTGTAAGCTAGAATATATGAAGCCACTCATTTATTTATTGGCACAAATCCAACCTTCTTTTTAAAATGTCATTCTGATCCGAAAGTCTGTGCTAATGGTAAGGAACTGTTCCTGAATATACATCATCTTCTTGCTGATCTCTTCAGTGGTTATAGTAATCTGATCTGATTGCATTGGAGTGCTGTGCTACTGCTAAAGTAATTGTACTTTCAATTGGAAATAAACAGCTGTAAGTTGAAAAGACAGTTACATTCTCTCTTTCTTATGGAATATCATATTTAATTTGCAAAGTCTGTCTGAATTGAAAAAGAAATAGAATGTTCTAAATTTGGAAATGTGTCTGGTGGGATTTTGTCATGAGTATAGAATGGCTCTGCAGGTCCATGTAGGACCCATGAGGAGTGCAAGTGTTGGCTGGCTAAAGCTGAAGAGTGCAGATCCAAACGACCATCCTATCATTGAGCCTAACTACATGTCGGAAGGTAAAAGCAGCTTCTTCACCCTCTGATGACAACTTATTTCCTGCCTGATACAGTAGCAGATTTTCACATCTACTTGAAATCAGTTCAGAAGTGAAGGTTAGTGCACTGTCAGATTTTATCAGAGGCCACTGTCCAAAATTCTTTGTACTGGCAGATAAGAAGAATTTCTTGCTGGGAATGCAGTCAGAGACAGTGGGTATAGCAAAATAAAGAGCAACTTTTCATAGCTCACCTATTCCCTTGTGAGAGCATGCAATATATGTAGCTATTTTGCACACTGAGTAGAAATCTATGAGATTTGTTCAAAATGTTCTACTTTGGCTTTCAGCAATAAGTGAGAGACTTCTCCTATGCCTCTTCTCTTCTCTTCTCTTCTCTTCTCTTCTCTTCTCTTCTCTTCTCTTCTCTTCTCTTCTCTTCTCTTCTCTTCTCTTCTCTTCTCTTCTCTTCTCTTCTCTTCTCTTCTCTTCTCTTCTCTTCTCTTCTCTTCTCTTCTCTTCTCTTCTCTTCTCTTCTCTTCTACTATGGTAGAGCGTACTTAGAGCCATCTTATTTTCTCTCCATGCAGAAAGAGATATTTGGGAATTCCGCCAGTGTGTCAAGTTGACCAGAGAGATCTTTGCTCAGAAAGCTTTTGAAAAATTTCGTGGACCTGAAATTCAACCAGGAAACAACGTTCAGTCTGACAAAGAAATAGATGCCTTTATAAGACAGAAGTCTGATAGTGCTTATCATCCTTCTTGCACTTGTAAAATGGGTCAGCCTTCAGATAGCACCGCTGTTGTTGATCCCCAAACAAAAGTAATTGGTGTTGAAAATTTGAGAGTAGTAGATGCCTCAATAATGCCCAGCATAGTCAGTGGAAACTTGAATGCCCCTACTATTATGATAGCAGAGAAAGCTGCAGATATAATTAAGGGGCTCCCATCACTTCAGGAGAAAAACGTTCCTGTATATAAGCCCAAGACCTTGGAGAAACAACGATAAACACTGTTGTCATCCTTTCACATTTTTGCCACTTAGTTTTTCATCTGTGTGTTTGTATCTCAATTGGAAGGGCCAACAAAATAAATACCGTAGAAAAATACACATCACAGTAAAGCAGCTATTAATTTGGTCCATTCTGTTATACCAGATTAGATATATATATATATATATTTAAATCAGTTGGTTCAAGCTGTTTATTTTAGTTAGACAGGAAGAGATCAGTGTGAGTTATTTTGAAAGTCTTTATGATAAGTCTTATTATTTAAAGGAAGAATTTTAACTGTTTTGAGATTATTACCCAAGATTACAGCTACTCAGTAATTCCCACATTCTGCAAAGTAAATGCAAGCATTTATGTACTTACAGGCCAAAGTAGTAGTATCAGAATTCACAGAAGAGACACTTAACATGTCCAGAGCTTGTCAGATGTGTTTTTTATGGAAAGAATGCATAATTTACAAATCTTTTCTAGAAGTTGGACTTTACTATACTTAGCACTCTTAACTTAGAAAAAAAGACATAAAATACATTTATCAAAAACTTTTCTTCTAATAAATGAAGAAATAGAACTGATATTTATAAAAGCATATTGGAAAGCTGGATTTTACCCTTGCTTTTTTTTTTTTTTAATTTTTTTCAAGAAACAATAGAATTCAGTTTGCAATTTAAGCTCATTTAGTTGTGCTGCTTTATCTTGTACCATTGTAAGGGATCCACATGCCCAATAATTTCCATAAAGTTACTGATCTTTGCTCAAAGATGAGTGCATGCAAATATACAAATAGTGTGCCCAACTACCAATCAAAAATAATTAAAAATATTTATAGCTGAGGTAGCTTTAAAATGGAAGTTCACTCAAAATAACTACATTAACTAAGATATCAGTGATATGAGTAGAGATCTTTTTGAATTCAAAGGCAAATGACTTACTCAGTAAACCAATGCTATACTTCAGTTAGGGCTTAAATCTTTGTTTACTATCTTCAGATATGTCAAACAAATGCATGATCTTCATGGCTGTTTCTGTGTGTGTCTAACTTACTGGTGCTGAACTGAAAAACAAAGGAACAAAAATAATACACCTAAAGAAAAGGAATTCATTAACTGGAACCAAATCCATTTAATTCCATGGATTTGTTAAGTAGTCCAAGCTAACTTCAGACTAAATAATTGTTGAATTATAAAGCAAATGCTTCTGTACCTTCCGATTGCTCAGTAGTTCCCGTGAACAGAATATGCCTTTCTTTTTCCCCAGGAAAAGTGGAATTTTACACCATTTGAGCAAACTGAAAAAAAAAAAACAAATTTCAAAAAAGCTGCTGACTCAGATGTTGGCTAGAGGGACAACTGCAGATGTTTAGGGCAGATTTTTCTACCTAGTGCTGCTGCAAAGTAATGGTTGGAAGCCCTGCTGCTAGCTGAGAGAAAGGACTTAATTGATCAGAGTATCTGTATAAAGAGTAAATAAAAAATTTGAAGATGGAAGGGGATAGAAGTGAACATCACTCCCAAAGGAAACAGGTAAACCCTTTCTATGTACGATATATATTTGCCTGGAATGTGGGGAACAAAAAGAATATTTTAAGTCAGAGGTGATTGATTGGCTGTATTAGTAAGACAATTCACCTGCCATGACTGTGCCTTTAGGGAGAGCATGAATTATGTATAATGTACCACTTTTATAGTAACTAACAGCTTCCATTCAGCAGCTATTCTTCTGAGATCTTCATTTAAAGAAACTCACTGTATCTTAGTGTCATTTAGGATATGAACTATTAAGGATGTTCAGAATAATACCAGTGATGAGACTCACCGCAGTCCCGTGCACTTGAGAGAGGAAGCAATTTGGAAAGATGTGACAGTGAAGTTCCTGCGTTTGCAGATTCACGACATGGGTTTCCAATCTAGACATGCAGCATGGGAATTGTTATTATGCAACTGCAGAGGATTAACTAGTTGCTATATTATATAACTTGAACACACACAGAGCTGTCATCTGCCATTATTTCAAGTTCTGAGAGATTAGGAAATGGTGAGGTTAGATAAACGTATAGAATTGCATGTGTCTTACATTCACGTCTTGCAGCTTTTAACAATCAAGTTATGTGTTGCTGCATTGTGTAATCAGACGATCAGGCATTTGTTCTGAAGCATCATCTTTTCTCACAGTTCTAAACATACAGCCTTGCAAGTTATTCTAACATTTGAAGATTTTTTTCACTGCTGCGCAGCTGTAGCTGCCTTATTAATTTAGACCTCACCGCTACAGATCTGCATGTCTCCTTCATGCATTTCCTTTGATGTAGTCCTAAGGAAATTCTTCAGGTATTTGAAAATGTTGTCCTGGGATAATTTTTAGGTAGCATCAAGCAGCCATTAGATTCTCCTGCACTCTGTGTGTCTGCTGGGATTGAATTTCTATTACAATTGTTCTTACTCCTAGCAGAGTTCAGTCTGCTAAGGGTGCTTAGAACAGATAAAAATGTTCTAATGTGCTCTGTGGAGCACTGGGAGCCTGCAAGTTAAATATCAGCCATTTACACACCTTATGAATATTGCGGATCACAGGACATTATTTAACAAAATAATATAGTGGTTAAGCAAATATTATTTCCATTTCTATTCAGATATTTTTTCTATAGATAAGCAGATGATAGTATATTATGTATTCAAAGAGTTCACTGTCAGAGTTTTTTGATGTAAGAACTGGGAAATTCCTAGAACTGCCAGCCTGGCTTCAACCAGCAATGGTACTGTAAGTGCCAGCAGCAGCATTTCCATGGGAACAGCTTTGGAGACAGCTGGATGTCTCTGGCTGGGGGCAATAAGATTAAGAAAGAAAAGTGACCAAACTCCTTTCTTTCTGTACTTGAATCTCAGTTCAAATTGCTTTAGTATGAGAAGTGCTATTAAAAGCAGCAGAAAATAGCTGTATTTGTAAAACTGCATTTTGTTTCATTTAAGGACACTCAAGATTGTGTACGCCATTCCAGTGATGTTCTGATGTTTCTCCAGCTTAAAATACTTTAAAATAATTTTCAAGTGTATGATTTCAATTACTCTGCAACTAAGTAAGGCAACTGGGAAAGTAAATAGTGGGGTTGTTGTAACAGACATTTTCTGTAACAGAAACATATTAAAGTATTTGTACATCTTATTAAAATAATAGTTACATGACATGGATTGTTGGGGAAAAAATAAAAGCATTTGTGCATCTTGTAACAGTTCAAAAGTTCCTGCAGATACAACACAAGCATCTTATTGCAGTGTTCTTTTAGTCTATATTGTTCTGTCATCCAACCTCCAAACAAAGGATAATGTTCAAATATGAACATATTTTATATGTACAATCTTTAAGTGAATATAACTTCTCTTAGTTGTATTTAACTCCTTGCTAATGGACAACCATAATGCTTTCTGTCATTATGTTCACATGTAAGCATATCTGGGAAATCATGATAAATGCATTAATTGTTGAGATCACTTTCATTTCTTTTAATGGAGTGATGACTACAATTCTGTGATTCATTCTAAGGCTGACAGTTACCATGTAATCATATATATGTAGGCTAACCTTTTTTTCCTTACGCTTCTGTGATAAAATTGAACAGTTATTCTATGTATAGTTAAACCATTAATGCAGAACATGGCTTGTAGCTGAATTTCCTCCACTGTTCATAAGGACTATTCTCATAAAATAGTATATCTGCCCCAAAGAGTGTCCTTCTCATCAGACCATTTGAAACTGACGACTAACTATACTACTAGCAAGAAAATACAGTGAACTCAGCATATCTTTTTCTGTCTGTTCAGACATATGCTTAATTAAAAAAGTCTTGTTCAGCGCAATCTGCTACATTAGATGTGCTATGAGAAAAATCTGTGCAATTACTTGTAGGGTTTTTGTTTTAAATGTTCCATCTCCAGCTTCCTTAAAGGTGTTTTGCAGAAATGAGGTGGAGCTGTGAAAACTTCTGACTGCTATTTCTCTGAAATAAGATTTGAAAACTTTATTTTGGTATCGGAAACTTTGCTCCTGTAAGTTGAGATGAGTAACAAAATGACTACAGTGGGAAACCCACCCAAGTGACAGACAGGCACAACAGATTTCACTTCTTAAGCAATGTTAAGTCAGATTTGTTTGATTGCTTCCATACATTCACACCTCTGGGAGCATTAATCCCCTAGAGTGGATTACAGCAGGAATACAGCCCTTGTTCATACAAATACTCTAATCACTTTTCTCCTTTCTGGTTAACAGCAATTATTCATAAAGAGCTTGCACACTCTAACACTGTAGATCTGTTATCAAATTCCATGTGTTCCTTCCCATTCTCCAAATGGTACAAACAGAATTTCACTTTTGGAGCTTCCTGGTGAAAAACTGTTAGTAAAAGGAGTCCCAAGTATAATAAAATTATTACACAGTTTTATTTTGAAGAACATTTTGCATTTGTTTTAATACAAAATGATTTAGGTCAAGAAAGAATTTACAAACCTTTAAGTTCTTATCCTGGCATTTGAAATAAGAATGATTCCAGAGGAAGTCTGTATGCTATTCATAGGAAATTGTCATTATGTACAAAATGTTTATTGACATGTTTTAAACATCACATTTGTTAAAATGTGAACTGGATTGCTATCTAGCATATGAATTACAGGTAAAACCTGATAATGCAACTTGTTAGAACAAGTCATTTTTATCCAGTGCTAACAAAATAGACAGTAGCTTTCAGTATTTTTTGATTTTCCTCCAAGGTTGTATTAGCCTCAAAGTCATTTCAGGGTTTTACTGCATTATGAACAATATCTCAGCCCTCTTTTGATTGCATAAAAATAAATCTTTGAAATAATGCACATAAAACAGAAAGGTAGAGGCAATGAAGTAGTATACTTTTTATATAATTATTATTATTGTTATTTTTTGGTTCTGTGAAGAATCATTTAGTCATATTTCTTTTTTTTCTGAGCAAAGTAAGCAATACTTAGTAAAGCATTTTCCTTTACCTATGAAATAGTTTCTGCCCTAGATGCTTTCTATCACAGTAGGGTACATAGGCAATGTACTTTGTCAAAACAAACTGTCCCATGAGTACTACCCTGGCATGAACTTGCCAATTTTTTAATAATTTTAATATTTCAGTAGCATGGGATTAATACAAAAATAAAATTACAACTTACTTTTCAATCAAAATGTTAAAATAATTTCAAATCTTTTACCTTTCCAAGTATAAGACTGCAAATGGTCAACTGTGCATCCCTTACCCAGAGAGATTCATTTGACACCATAATGTTAAAAAAAAAGTCTGTGTTGTCAAGTTCAAACTTGACACTTTATCCCAAAAAGATTTACAATGAGAGGTGGCTCTATTTAAATATTTATGCTATAGATCTATATATTCCAAGTAAAAATACTCATATCTAGAATTCTGTGGAGAGTTACAATAATTAGGGTCCATAAATATTGCTGCAGTTCAATTACGGTACAATAATTACAAAATATAGAACATCTCTTTACAAATACAAATCATTGTATATTACAATTCATTTACAATAATTTCTACTATATAATTTTTAGCAAACTATCTTATCTAATTCTATTTTAACCTGGTTGCAAGTGCATTAGTAAGAATGCAATTATTCCAGTATATTTTGCCCTTAACGTGATAGTCATAAAACAGACTATCTGAATGATATTTTGCTATGTAAACTGATGTTACATATGACAGAATATTCTTTATATAACTTCTTTTTCCAATGATCCCTAACAGGTAGAGCATGACAAACCATGTTTTAGAAGAGCATTAAGAAAAGAAATTGGGAGGCAGGTTTGAAAACAGTATTAGAATAGATATGCAATGGATAGATGATATGCTCTTGAGTACTGAGGTAATGACATTATTGGTTGTCATCACTCACCTCGTGTTGTGCTGGACTTACACATTTTCACTGACAAAATCCCGCTCTACTATGAAGGACAGCAGCACAAAGTTGAAGGACAGGCAAGATATTACACCTCAGAATCCCACTCTAGCCCTCAAAAAACTGATTGTCAGAACCCGCTTCTTTCCAAAATAACCTTATTCCTACAGAGAAACTGAAGATTCTGTGGGAAGAGATGATGTGCTGCAGCTCTGATCACATTTCAGCAACCCGGAGATAATCTGTTTATTAGTTATGGCTTCCTTGAGGCGTGACATCACTTGTACAAAACTTGATCGGTTAACCCCTACTAGTGCCTAGCATCTTTGAACTATGAGGCACTTTTTCTGTTATTTAAAATCATTTCCCTTGCTAAATACTATAAGCTTGTAATGCATATCATTTCATCGGCTAAATCTTCTTCATATCGTCCTGGTTCTGGTTCTTCGTCACTGTAGCCAGGACCAAATTCTTGAAGTTCATAATCTTGTCTGCTTAAAATGGGGAACATATCCCCATTGGTCCCATTGCTAATATTTCCATTGAGAAGATTACTTGCCGCACTTTCCATCTCATCGATAGTCATGTCACAAGCATCAGCAATCTCATGTTTTGTAGCTGAAACAAATTTAGGGTCCTTTGCATACCTTCCTAGGCCTTCAGATATAAGTACCTGGCAGATGGAGAGCAGAGAATGAGGTATAAAGCAGAATTACGGAAGAACAGACATATCATAAAAGCATTTTTCATTTGTGAAAAATACTAGAAACTCCATGCTAACTCACAAATCAACAATCAAATAGCTTCAAACTACGCTGTAACAGTTATATGGCACTGTAACTGATAATGCAATACATTCAGTTGTTGTCGTTAGAAACTTAGGAGGAGTCTGATAAACATAAGACAGCAGCTACTAAATCCCAGATGAGAAAACTGGGATAAGTTGCTGAAACAGAGTTCTAGATACATTCTAGGTATTTTAGAATACATGGAAGAAGGATGCTGAAGTCTCATTTGGAAACAGTGAAATACATTGCTCAACTTGTAGCAGTCAAAGGAAATAATAGACGAAAGCAAGAACAGCAACTACTATAGTCTGAAATGCAACATGTTAATATTATTAACACAAAAGAACTTCTAACATTCTTTAGTACACCTGCAAATCAATCCGGTTGTCTTTTTTCACCCTCTCGCCAGTACACAGCTATCATAGAGTTCCTCATCTTTGATCAGATTACTGCAAAAATGGCTGTTTATACATATTAAATAATATAAATAAGTGGAAACAAAGCAGAGAAAACACAGGTAAGCATCATCAGCTCTTGTGAGAGGATATTTCACAATTGATCCTCATTAGCTAGAAAGCTTAAAGTCCATTTTAAACCCTGACCTGGATGTTCCCAACTTTCCTTCTGCTGATCTCTTCCAGCCTGCCTCTCAGCCCTCTGACACTGACACTGTGATTTTGAGTTCCTCTGACCTTTTACAACACAGCAACTGAGAAGTTTCCCTATCTTTACTTGAGATCAGTTTCAGCTGAAAGTGAAAATACCACATTTTCAGAGAGATTGTGTAGACTGAATGATAAGCATGGTGATGTTAACACAAATGCTAAGCAGACACCCTTGATGACTTTAGAAGTTTCTGTAATACTTACCGCTTCTACCAAACTGTCTGCACTCCTCTGTTTGTCACTGTGTTTATGCCTAAAGTCATTAGGTACTGTTAAATTGGCTGGTGTAAATGTTCGGTAGGAGATATCAGGGTCGTCTGTGTACCAAGAGCTCCTGTGCAAGGAAGGCAGGCTACCATTCATATGTTCTGTAGATTCAGCCCTGTCAACTTGGATTAGAGGTGTGTAATACGGGGTACGGTCCCTGTTGGGAGGGGTTGCAGGTGGGGTAGCCCATGAACGCGTGGAACGACTTGGTGAATGTTTATGAGCTTTACTGGAATCCAGACCCGCAACAGCCATGACCTGGAATGGGGAAGAATTTTTAAAGTTAGTGATTTCAGACACTCTGAGTCATACTCAATTCCGATTTCAGCAGTTAGCTCCAACCAAATCTTTTGGCAGATGCTATGCAAAGTTAATATTTTCTGCTGCTTAGAGTCAAGCAAAGGAACAGAACTGAGATTAGTAAATAGCATAAAAATGTTTTTTTTTTTATTATAGCTAGGTTATGTACCTTGCTTTCTTTGGCCTCTGAGGAAGAGGGCCCTATTTATCATTCAGAATTGTTTAAAAATCTCTGGCTGGGGCTGCAGCAGGGGGTAGGAGATTTGTGCCACATATATGT